TCCCTCTTTCTCTCTCTTGATCCTATATGAGAGATTTCTAGTGATGGGGGGAGGGGGGAGGGAAAGGAGAGAGATAAAGAGAGATGATAGGGAGAGAGAAAGAATAGGAAGGCGTGTGAGAGAGAGGAGCTTTAAATTTCAAGTAAAAAGTCCAAAATGCCCTTCTATGTCCTTTGGTCTTCAAGTAATATAGGGCAGTAAAAGTAAAAATACGGTTCACAAGGGTCTCTAACTTGAACCAATGTAATTTGAGGGGTTGTTAACCCTAGACAATCCCATATCATATATATATATTTCTCCGTGTGTGTGTGTGTGTGTGTGCATGACTGCATGTGTGTGCGTGTTGCGTGTGTTGCCCATGTCCAATATGTTGCTATACCGATGTGTCATATCCAAGATGCCTCCTTTTATGGCAGCAGCATCACACATGCACATCCATGTTCGAAATCAACAAGTGTTTGTCCTAGTCACATAGCAACCTAGCCTTCTTAATTTGTTAATAAAATTCTATGTATAAGACGACTTCTTAGCAGTCTAACTACTATTAGTTAGTATTCCGAAGGCGTGTTGAGTCATATCGGTAATATGATGTCATGTAAATAAAAGTTTGTTCCTCCACAGTCCTTGATATACAAAAGGCCAAAGCCATAAAGCCATATATGATACAAATCAATTATCATAAATTGAACATGAAAACCAAAGAAAAGGCTCCATTAGGTTGTGCTGAAAGAAATCGAAGAACCATACTTTTTTACATGCATTTAAGGTAGATTTGACAAATTTTATATTGATTAAATACGAGAAATCAAGGCTGTCACTTTCTCCTACAATGAAAAACTGTTACAATTTTATGAAGAAAGGCAAGTAAAAAAGTTGCCAGATTCAAAACAAGTACAAAAATAAAATGAACATATAAGGATTCTACTTAAGGGATTGTATATTATGATACCATTTATCTTTATTACAAGAAGGTCATAATTACTCGTAGCTATTAGATGTCAAATTGAATTACTTGGGGCATCTCACGAAGTTCAAGAAAAAAGTTTGTCTTTGAACTTTGAGTTTAGTCAATAACTCTTACAACCACCCAATTTGACATCTGACGGATAAAAGTAATTATGACCTTCTTGTACCAAGAGTAAATGGTCTCTTTGTATAATGTTTCCTTCACTTAATGAACACAAGTTTGCTAGTTTCAAGAATAGGTACACAAAGAAAATGGATGGTAATCCAATTTGTGCTTACCCACCGTCGTGCATGGTCCAAGTTGTTCTCTGAATAGTAGTGTGAAGATTCCATGGACCGAAGGACACTAGCTGTTTCTGGTTCTCCATGTAAACCAAACGCAGCATCAGGTTTCCTATTAGAAAGTCGATCATTCGCAAAAGTGCATCCCACCGAGCATGACTTCCAATCCTACCCAAAAGAGAAAAAAATATGACAAATAAATTTCAGCAATAATTTCTAAAAAAACAATATCAAATGACAAATTCAAATGGAAAACACAATTTGCTTAGCATTTAACGTTTAACTTGTTTAATACACTAGTATTAAACATATTATACGCAAACAAGTAAGTGCTTTTTGTGAACCCAAATCAAGAAATCAAACAATCTGAGCTCCCGACTAGTAAGAATGGAACTAAAGAAAATGACTAATAGGGGCCAAGTGTTGGAAATAAATATAATTTGCACTTAGAATTGTACATTCAAATGTATTAGAGAAATTGTTGCCATCAATGTTTAAAAAAAGGTAAACCGGATAGAACTAGTCAGTTCGGTTCGGGAACTAGTGGGGCCCGTCTAGTTCCGTCAAAATATCTAGAACTGGCCCCCATTTTCATTTTTCTATTTTTTCAATTTTTTTTGTTCTCTAATTTTTAAAAATTTTTATTGGCCAATTCACTCAGCCAGATCGCCGACTCAGACCGTTGATCTGCAAAGTCAGGCCGGTTTTTCGAATGGGAGATCCGGGTCGGGTCACTGATCTTTTTTTTTAAACCTTGGTTGTCATTCTCCCCTCACATACAAACAGGTGAGCCATTTGCTTGTCTATTCTGGTATACCTCAATTTCTTAAAGTTTCAATGCATCAGAGCTGCAATATTCTGGAAAAAGAAAAAAAAGTATTCTTTATATCATCCAATAGAACTACACACATTGTATAGATGTCACTACATTATACATACACTTGTTACTATTATCAAAGTGGGATGCAGACTTGATGCGCTGGAGAAGGAAAGAAAAAAAAAAGATAGGGAAGCATCTTGCGGCATGATGCAATCCCAATGCAAGCGCATCAAATCCGATGCAGTCAATAAATAAATAAATAAAATCCATAAAAATACAAGAATACAAAGAATAACATGAATATGTGATTTGTGTGATAGAACGGATTTTAATTTAGTGTTATCTCTAATATATAGGTTGTCGGAGTTGTTGAAAACCTCATAGAAAGTAACAAAGTCCATTGTCTCTATTGAAATTAAAATGTAAAATAATTAATAACCCCAACCCTAAATTTCAAACTATATATATATATATATATAGGAAGATACTACAAAACACCTATAGGCGAATATGAACAGTGATTTGACCTACCCTCATCACCGTCCAAAGTTCATCGCATGGTCACGATTGTCCGGTAGTGTTTCATTTTTCATTTTTTTTTACAAATAAGAATGACCTGAAATTTGGAGCGTGTGTTAATCAAAAATAGGCAAATCTACGAAAAATATCAAAAAAAATATTTTACATGAAAAAAATTGACCAAAATACCCTCAAAACGTTTCGGGGGTATTTTAGTCAATTTGTTTTTTGCAAATTATTTTTTTATATTTTTATTAGGTGTACCTCACTAAGATGTACACACACTCCAAATGTCAAGTCATTCCGATTTGTAGAAAAAAATGAAAAATAAAACCCTACCGGACAATCGTGACCGTGCGATGAACTTTGGACGGTGATGAGAGTAGGCAAAATCACTGTTCATTTTCGCCTATAGGCGTTCAGAAGACTTTTCCATATATATATATATATATAAGTGACCATCGAACCACCTAGAATATGTATTAGCATCAAGCAACCAAATCACTATGACACTGTAGGTTGTAGCATATAGCCAAACCCCAAAATGCCAAATAATCATTAATAGCATCCAAAGACCAAAAGTACTTTACAAGAACATGACATCCAAACTCCAAAGACCAAAAGGTTCAACATAATAAAACCCAAAATCGGAAGAATTCTTTATTTATAAGTTTAATCACGTCGTCCCTTGAAATTCTTGATTAGTTAGTCAATCTTCAGCATAAATCCTTCAAAAACAATGCACAAAACAAACTCAACCCAAAGAATCCCCAAATTTTATCGAAATGTTTGGATTTAACAAAACAATGTTGGTTAGAACTGTCTACAATTTAATCCCCTTGGACCCCACGAAAAAATTGCTCTAAGGGGCTTTTAGCAAAAAAGAGAAGGGAGGGGGTGGGGGTGTTTCTATAAGTACCCCTCTCCCCCACCCCCCAAACAAAAAAAAAAGGAAAAAAAATTCCCCTCCTTTCAAGAGAGTTTTTTTTTAGGTGGGTGTGTGTGTGTTTGTTTTTTTGGTTGGGGGAGGGGGGGGGGGGATACCAAAATTGCCTTAGTAGAGTATATTTGTCACCCACAAGCAGTCGTCCGCACATGCGGGTGGATAACACTCCATTTGATGTGCTTGCATATGTAGATAGTGCCCTGCATAGTGCAATCCCTTATATGCAGCTTATGTGACGGGCCAAGGTGCATCTGCATTGATACAGCACCACTCTTTCAGAAAACCATGTTCGTGGCCATTATATGACAGCAAATTTTGCGATTTCCTCATCCCAAAAATCAATCCCCAAAAAAAAATCATCTTTTTGCATCATATAAAAGGTCAAAATGAGTCCCCCAACAAAGGACCCAACCCATCCATTTGGTGGACATGGAGAACTAGGCCTTTAAGAACTCAGATTCTATTTTTTCTTTTTCAAAACTGTTCATCTGATGATGATAAGGCCATCTTAAATGTTTGGAATAAAAAACAATCCCTCCAAGGTGTAGACCTAATCATCCCATCCACTGGGTTAAAAGAACACTTCCTAGGCCCCCCCGGCCCTAAATTTTTCGTCCGAATGGAAAGAGTGTATATTTGAAATTTGGGATCAAACAAATGCCTTTCATTAATTTGATGATGTTTTGGAAGATCTTGGGGAACCGTCACAAGTACAGCCGGCCTGTATTCTATTTGATTGAATGAGAATGCCGTGTCATCCAGCGGAGCTCAGAAGAAGGTGAATTGGAGCCTAGACGAAGGTTACTCGTTTGCCCAACAGGAATACATACAAAAGATTGGAGCGACATCACCATCTCAAGAATGAAGAATACATAGAGTCAAACAACAACTGGCTTAAGATTTTAAGTATGCAAAGTATTCCTCAAGTGCAGCATGAATTGAATCTCCCAATTTTTTACAAGGATCATAACATATTACCTGTTTTAAGTTTCATCACAGGCCAAAAAGCCACAATTGATTGATGTGGCAAACAATTTGTCCTAAACACATGAGGTACAAAACAGAAGTTGCTATGAATATACAAATTGTATTTATCAAGTATCACGCAGATAAACGGCAATCGAATAATGGTGATTAAGATTCACTGATGTATTCTCTTTCAGCATAAACACTTTTTTTAATTTAGAGATAATTTCATTAAATATAAACAAAGAAAATACATGTGGTTTGAGCCAGTTGAAGAGGAATTGTTCTCATCAGCAATCAAAGCAGAATCCCATTTTGCAAAAACACAGAAAACTTCACAGATTATAGCTCTGCTGGAGGTGAGTGGTAGCGTCCAATTCCCAGCTATTGTAGAGGAGACAATTGATGTTTCACCTAGAGGGACCAGCAACAAGAATGCAGGAGAAAATGATAGAGTTTATAGAGAATGAAAATTGTAAGGTCTGTGGTTAAGAAACTCAGGAACCAACTAAAGAAGGCAGAAGCAACAGGAAAGTGGAGAAGCACTTGCATATCCATGGCTTGCCTGCTACAGTAGAAGCTGAGGTCCCTATTGCTTTTGAGTTTTATGAAGAAGCTTGCAATGAAGACGATTTGGTGCATGGCACACGGCTTAAGACCCAAGATTCATTGATCACATGGCAAGCAGTGGTACCGTTAGAGGAGCAGAGAGCAGCCAAGTCAGCATTGTAGTGGACTCACGACATACCACGCCTCATTTTCTGTTTCCTTCTTTGTCCCCAGTAAACTTCTATCTTCATTATGACCCCAGGATTTTTGGCCGTGCAGGGCTGCCCCTTGTTCATTTAGAGTGGATGAGGACATAGTATGGAATCCCAAACTTTCACCAGCAGTTGGTTGTGGAACCAGGAGTCCATAGGTCTTCCATTCTGAGGATCCAATCATGCTAGCAATGGTCAATGAACCAATAAAGCTTTCTATAAATAACCTAATTCCTCCATAATTAAAGTACTTTTGATCTGTGGGCCAGGAACAATACATTTTCAGAAATTTCTCATGAAGTGTATACCCTGGAATGTATGCGATCTGGATTAGTCTTAGCCATGAAGGATTTTGCCTTTTTTTGTTTTGATAAATGGAGTGAGCATTATCTCTATATCATTAATGGAGTGAATATTATCCTTAAAGTGCTATGATGTTGCCATCAAGAATATATCGGATAGGAGACATGTTTTGCTTCCCTTCCAGATATTGGACCAGCTGGAGGAATTATCAATGATTTGGAGTGGCACAGGGTAGTAAAAGAAAGCAAATGTCACTTGGTAAGTTCTCCTCGACAGTACACCCATCTGTGGATAATAGACAGCAGTTCATGGGCTGAACAAATCAAGGGGACATGAAGACATTTTGGAGAATTAGATGGTAATCACAATGAAAACCCAGATTTACGGTACAATGAAACCCCAGATTTACGGTATCCTGGAGAAGGTTCGATATAATCCAATTGTTTGATATGAAAATACAGCATATCAGATTAGCTACTGGCATGGAAAGGTGCTCAAATTTAGAGGGAAGGCATAAGCCAGCCAATCTTCCAATTGCAGGTGCAAATATTTTGCAGGCAAATGAACAGAAGGAACTAGTTATAACAGGGTTGGATAAATTACACAGTTTAGGGGTGTGAGAGAAAGATTTCCCAAGGATTAACCAGTGATCGCTCCTTACAACAGCCTAAGATCACTGTTACAATGGATTGATCACCCATGAGCCCAGACCCAGGAATATTCAATTTCAGAACATGTGTATCAAGGGCATGACTCTTGAAAACAATTGGTTTGTGAAGAGCGAACCTTTTGATGAACCAGTAAGTTACTGGGCAATGGAAGTTCCAATTAACTGATGAGAAGATTAAAGTGCTTTTGACCTTCTTGGTGCAAGGAAGATGCCCATATTGTAGGCGGATTGTGGACCGTGAGTTAAAGCCCTCAAATCCAAGGGGCCCCTCTTACTAAGATAAACTTTTGGAGATTATTGAGTCATCTACTCATTGATCTAGGCATCTAAAATGCGACACGAAGCTAATTGCTAGTGTAGCTAATGTTTAATGAAGGTGTTTCAGCAACCAATGGATGGAATCTTGCCTTCCTGGAACCTACTAGCCACTTGGTCTGATAGCAGATTCCACAGTTGTATCCTTGGGGTATCACTGCAGCAGAGTAAACCCTAATATGAGGATTCTACTCTCAGCTCTCATAATTTCTACTTTTAAAAAAAATCAACCTTTGGCCCTAGAGCCGCCACAGAAAAAATCAGTATTACATGTAATGTCAAGCCTGCTAAGTGAATGTTCCCAATAAAACAATCACAAAATAGATAAATCTTATCTGCCCCAGACACAAGAACGAAGCACATATTCAAGCCCAAATCTACTCCTTTTTACATGATCAAAGTCAAAGTTTTTGCCATAATAATGACTAAGGCAAAAACCATGTCTCAAGCCATTGGAACGCCTGTAACATACACCAGAGGACGCATTTGTCATAGTCGAAAAGGATTTCATGTGCATGCCATATGTATCGGTGGTAACCAGCAAGCACCAAATCCAATCAAACCAATGTTGCCACCTACTAGTACAGGGACTTGGATTAGCGGTATTATTACTAATTGATCCTAATTTGTAGTAAATGATTACACATTCATGCCACATGAGGTGGATTTCTATAAAAGCGCATTGCATTCCAGTAGCAATTTGGATGGGCAGATGGCATAACATACACCTACAGGGAAACGGGCGCAGTATCAATTGTGAGAAAATATTGGACCAGTATCAATTGTGAGAAAATATTGGACCAGTAACTCACATGAAGAAAGATTCCTTTATAAAAAGACGAGTAGAAAATATGAGAATAAAATGACATAAATATAAGGAAAGCTTCTCAATCGTCAAGGTAGCCTAACCGCCCGTCACCAATAGCACCTATATTCAGAAGGTGAAGCTTCATAACATCAACAAAGTAGGCCATATCACGAATAATTTAATGCCCTTTGATATTTTAAGAGGCTTGTAAACGAGAAAGTTTGGTCTGTTACTCTTGTAAGTTTATCATCAAATTATACTACTTGTATAAACATTTGGGTTTATAAAAACTTGTGGCTTCTCCCCTGCTGCCCTAAAAGGAAAGAAACAAAAACTATTTTCTGGCTAGCAATGTAAGTTAAAAAATATAACCTCCCCAGAAACCTGACAAGTCAGCCAGCCATCTGGCTAACTAACCAACATACGAAAATAATCTGTAAATCTCAAGTCTTGTCTTAGAATAAGTATATTAAGTAATCATACCTATTTACATTGTGGTCTTCAAATTGAATAATTCTTCTACAGGTACCATGTATAGGTGCAAACTCTTTAGAACTGACTAAAATATGGTTCCTATTTAGTCAAAAGCTAAGGCATAAATCTGGGTCCAATTTGTGAAGTTTATACTATGATCACTTCTTCATAAAGTAAATGGATTGCCACTTACAAGCACTTAGTTCAATGGGATGTACTCCAACTAGAGTTTCAGAAGTATGAGATCACTCCATAAGAAAATCAAAACTACATTCTATCGAATATAAATAATAGATTAGTAAGATGCAATTTCAAAGTCAACTACAGCATCAAGGGAATACTTATATATGCTTCCTATGTTCAGCTATGGTCTATAGCTTATAGAGAACGTGTTAGCTTAAGCTATTATAATTCAGTTAATTAATCAAGGAAGTAGACAATAACTTACTAACTTGATAGAGTTCGACTAATCAAAAGATAAAGTAAAGGACAGTTTAAAATTTTAAAACAAGAAGCAATCCATTTCAAAAACCCACTACTCGCAGTTCATTCAAAACCATTCCATTTCACGAGTAAATACAAGAGAACAAAAGAAAAAAACTCTAACAGAAGATTAGCACCATAAAACAATAAATGCTCACAGACCATAACCAGAACCACGGTTAAGGCTTAGAAAAGGGTAGAACTCCACCACGTCAAATTGTAAACTATCTTAAGAATCACCACCAAATTTTGTAACACTTAAGATGGAGAATGAACAGAAAATTTTTCAAAAAGCGCAACAAAAACACGGAGACAATCCCCAAAAAGAAATCATCCAATGGCAGATTAACCATTAGCTTCAATTCCAAACGAACCAGATATATTGAGTTAGAGAAAGCCCACCTGCTCCCCTCCATTTACCCAGATGGGGTCCCTCTTAAAATCCCTGGTACAAGTAACTGAATCTTCTCTCTCCAACCATTCCTCGCAGCTCCAACCCCTAATCTCATGAACACTCTCCTCAATAACACCCAACCCATCAATTCCCTTCTCTGCATCCACCGGCGAGTTAAACCCGGCAGTCCACGTCCGCATCATAGCTGCGTTCTTTGCCATATCAAGCCGACCAAGAAAGACGATCTCTGCAACGACTACAAGAGCGACCAGAATAGGCACCAGTTTGTTCCATCTCTTCTTCGAATGATCATACGGAGAAGAAGAGGAAGCAGCTCCCCTATAAACTGTTGGCAAAACCATTTTTTCCTACTTTTAAGTTTCTTTCAGGTCACCTGAAACTCCATGAGAAAGGTAAGTTGAGACAGAAGACAGAAAAGGGAGAGTAGAGTAAGGTTTAAGAGAGGGGAAAGTGGGGCTTTGGAATGAGAGATCACTGGCAATGTAGGTTCCCCTGCTATCGCTCCAGGCCCATTGCCTCTTTTATCACTTTGGTCCCTGGATTTCTGCGAGGTTTGGTGAGGTTTGGATTGGTTTCATTGGGTTCCAGGGGACCACTGTCATGCCTTTACGCAAACTCAATTGTAATTTAATAAAAATGTACTTAACCCAAAAATAAAAAAAGGTTGAAGTTTCTATGGGCCAGGCTTTATGACAACAAAATAATGGCTCACCTTAAATCTTCATTTAGCAAGCACTTTTGACATAAGAAACCTTCATGATAGCTCTAAAATTAATTTTGAACGCAATAAATTTTGAAACTAAAAAAATGATGTAGATCTTGTAGATAGGTGCACACTTATTTTTAGGGCGAAATAGTTGGTCTAAATGATTTGTTGCAATATACATTATTTTTAGAATTTGAAATCCTAATTTTTTTTGCACAACCATAATGTTCAAGTGGAGATGATCCATTTAAAGGATTTTCAACTCTTAAATTGTAATTTTTGATGAGTTATGAGGTGGGACTTTACTTACTCAAAACCATTTTCCATGAAAAAAAAAGAATGGGAATACAAATGATCAAGATGCAGCCAATCTGTTAGTGGTCCGTTTGCTTGTGGATTCTACTCTAAAGAAGGTTATCCAGGTTTTATTTGTGTTTTCTTTGTTTGTGTTGCGGGATAGAACATCAGTGCACGAATAGGAGAATCCCACAGATCAGCCTAACCACAGTTTTCCTTCAAAAATGTGGATAACCTCACAGCACTCATAACAATAGAATAAGCCAATCTAATTTTTTGGATAACTCAATCCCCATCATGGAGCCATAATTTGTCATCGAATTCAGTTTGTATACTCTATTTTCATGTCCAAGATAAAAAATCGCATATGCCCCACTAGAGTAGCTCACTCTTCCCTGTTCATGAAACCCTAGATTGTTGTGAGAAGGTCTCTCCCTTCCTGAAACCCCTTCTGGTGCCGCTCACTTTTCTCAGTGCAGCTCTCTACGTCACTCAGACATCGGGAAAAGCTCCATCTCTTTTTCTGAAGTCCTGAAAAATGTGTCTTCTTGCAAACCTTGGTTGGGTACTTTCCCGGACCTCCTTTTATGGTTTATTTTATCTCGAATCGAAGCTTTCAAGTCATAATCGAAATGCCTCCTTTCTTGGTCTATCTGACCTTGAGGCTTCGATTTATGATCTTTGGAGTGAGAGATTATCATACATACAGATTTTCTATATAATGCCTTTTTGTGCAACCTTCTATCGAAGATTTCTCAAGGAAGACTATAAGAGCGACATTTTGGACAAGATAGGGAAACCAAGAAAACTTTGCATGTTGGCCGAAAAATTAGAAATTCCTAAGCACACTGTCAAAACTTGACAACATCGTGCAAATCTTATATCAAAACGATCATCTGGGTGCAATCTACGTTTTTATGACAATAGATCGCCTGAAAGGTCCCTCAAGCCATGTCGATGGGAAGATGCCCCTCTTTGGGGGACCTAAATGTCATTTGTATGTTTATTTAGGGTTATTTTTTATCATTTTTATACAATTTCGGGATTGATTTTTTATTTACTTTATTATATTTTTCATCATTCCCCGTGGGTTTGGAGTGCACCAAGGGGTAACTGTTTCAAGGGGTAACTATGTATAAACCCCATACTTTGTAACATCTAGTAGCTTTAGAAAGAGGTGGGAAAGGCTTTCAAAATTGGCGGGAAAGGCTTTCAAAATTATTGAAATTGCACTCAATCTAGAAAAAAGAATGTAGTTATCTTTGTGGTTACTTAAAAATCTTTTATCCTTGAGTGAGGAGAGAGAAAACTTTGTGCTTAACGAAAAATACCTTTTTTCCACCATACTTCCTAGTTGGACTACACTTCCACCCTACCAACCCATACACCAGACCAACCCATACAACACGCCTATCCATACACTAAAGCTACCCATACACCACACCTACCCATGCACTACACCTACCTACTCATACATCACACTTACCCATATTCCACTCTATCCCTAAACCAGTTAGTGGGCAGTATCTTAATCACCGGTCCCTTTTCTAACCAAACTTCCCGATCTAGACCACTCTTTGAAGAGACTTGCGCAACAGGGTTTGTCCTGGAAATCACCCTTCACAAGTCTCTGGGTATTTAGGCTTCGTGCCTAATACCTTTTCCTCATGTTGCCAGTGCTGCCTCCTAGGGGAGGTGACACTGGAAGGTCAGCGGATATGTTGAATGGTCTTCTAACCCTTTAGCCTAGCTTAGCTTACCAACCCACCTAGTCTAGTCTACCACACCAACCAACCTTGTCTAGCCTACCCAACCTTAACCCACCTAGTCACATATAAGCACATCATTTCAAAGCCTAAGGATAGGTTCAAGGGCTCATGCAACCCAAACAATACAAGTGCGCATCGTTGAGCCGAAGGTCGTGAAGAGGTCGACTCCAAACCAAGCCGAACAAAGGCCGGGGGGCGTTTCGCAGGCGCTTCAAGGTGCCGAAATCTAAGAGGGCATCCTTACCCAGGTGCATTCGACCCCATCCTCGCGAGGTAAGCCTTACCTCGCACATTTCTTTTCTGGTTTCGAATTGCTTCACCGCACTACCCAAGCCTTATCTTAGCGAGCACCGGAGGTCACCCGTGTGTGTACACGCACACGCACCCTTAGGGGCGCGGTACACGTTCTCTCTTTTCTCAAAAGTTAAAAAAGAAAGGATCCACGGTTTTAAGAAATGATTTCTCTCTCACAAAGGTTGAAAATCCAGTGTCGACCACAAGGCGGTTCGAGCCCAAATTTCAATATGTTGTTCTCCTCAAATAGAGCAAACCTTTGACATGCGCCATGCACAAAGCCAATGACCGATTTGAGAGAAATCTTAGAGAGAATCTCACAGAAAAAGGAATTATGCAAAAAATATGCGTGCATGATGTTCTCTCACTCAAACGATTATGACTCGAAGCCCCGAGGTCGGATAGACCCAAAAATGGAGGGATTTCAATCGTGACTCAAAGAACTTCGATTTTGATGTAAAATACACCATAAAAGAGAGCCGGTAAGATACCCAACTAAGGCTCGCAAGAAGGCACAATTTTCGGGTCAACAGAAAAGGTTTTTCGGTGACTTCTCAAAATCACAAGAAGGTCAATCTGAGGCCAAATCGTGTGATTCATGATGGAAAATGATCATAGAGACTTCCCTTCAATTTACTAACAAAAAAAAAGACCATAAAAATGATATTTTGGACATGATCAAACGACCAAGAAAACTCAAATTGGCATGTTGACCAAAAAATTAGAAATTTACAATCAAAATTCCACAACATCATGCAAATCATATATCAAAACAATTATCTCATAGCGATTTATGTTTTCATGACAATAGATCATCTGAAACGTCGTCGAAAAGTACGAAAAGAAGGCCCAAAGCCATGTGGATGGGAAGAGTCCCCTTTTTGATGACCTAAATGCCATTTGCATGTTTTCTTGTAGTCATATTTTGTTACTTTTTTACAATTTCAGGATTAATTTTTTATTTACTTTACTCTATTTTTCATCAATTGACATGGGTTTTGAGTGTACACCCATGTTTCATGGGGTAACCGTAAATAAACCCCATGTTGTGTAACATGTAATAGCTCTGGAAAGAGGTGAGAAAGGCTTTTGAAATGATTGAAATTGTGCTTAACCGAGGAGAGAGAGTGTAGCTTTTTGTGTCTACTAAAAAATCTATGACCCTTGAGTGAAGAGAGAGAAAACTTTGTACTTAAGGAAAAATTCTCTTCTCCCACCATACTCTATTGTTGGACTACACTTCCACTTTATCAACCCATACACCACATTGTTGGGTGTACTTTTATCACAAACAAGACCAGGTACATTGATAGAGTTGCTAATGACTCATACTTTTACCTTTGGAAAAGTATGGACACGTAATCCCAATGGAAGATTACTGATAAAACCACTTCAAGATATGCAGTGAACCTCTAAAGGATGAATATGGTTCTCGTCATTCAAGTGTGCTATGTTTGACTATGATCAGAGCATGGCTTAATCTATGGATTTCGAGAATAGGACAAAGATAGTCTCAACATCATTCTAAAGCTACCTAGATATGGCTTAACCCATCTCAGTTTGAACTATAATCTAAAGCTGTATAGAGATGGCTTAAGCCATCTCAGTCTCAACGGCAATCTAAAGTATTCTAAAGATGGCTTAACTTATCTCAGTTTCAACAACAGTTTTGAACTGCCACAAATAAATCCTTAAAATCTTTATGGATTGCACAGCCAATTGGTTTCCACAAGAATGGAATTGTTTCTTCAGGAACAAGGAATTCTCTCGTTTAATCAACACCATTGAACTCTAGGCTCCTTGCTTTATCACCTTTAAAAGTTTAGCATGGATTGAGTTGAAATAATGGAAGTGGCTACAACCCACTAACACCAACATTGATGATAATGATGAATATCTGATTCTGCTCCTACTTCTGCTCCTACAAAATCATTGGTGGCGAAGGTTTGTGAAGCGCCAGCGATTTCATCTATGAAGATAACCTAGCAGATCGATCAACAGCGTGAGAAGATAAATCCAAAAGATAAACCAAAGATAAAAGATAAACACAAGAGGTAAACCGAAGATAAACACAAGAAGAACAACCGCGTTATGAAGATAAAGATCGCACCCTACAAGATTTATGATTCAAATAAGTGGATAAACTCAAATGAAAATGGAGGGTGAAGATTCAAAATGCATGAATATCCCTAAATTTGCACTTTAAAAAGGGGTACTCCTTCGATTGAAGGGGAGGTCGTACTTTTGAGAGACATAGTTTAGTAGAGAGATAAAGAGTTCTTCAGAGGTCGTGCCTCGACAAGAACCAAGAGTAAAAAAGAGAGTAATATTCAAGACACGAGGAGAAAGATAATCATCTCCTACGATTCACTTGAGACCCTTTCTCTTTTGAAGACCAGACTCGAAGGATAACAAGTGTCTGCCTACATGTATATGGGATGATATGCCCTTGACGTCATCTTTCCCCTTTAACATGTCTGTATTTTCTTCTTTAGAAAAGAATGTATAGGTTTCAAAGTCAGAAT